GGGAAAGAGAAGAACTTTTTAGTGTATTTATTTAGCCTTGTTTTGTTTTGTTTTGTTTTTCTCCACCTAAGTGATGGCTCAGGTTCTCATACAAGTGACCCATTTCAGGCAGAAGCCTGGTACAAAGAGAATTGTCCATGAAGATTGTATTTAAACCTCTGCCATTTGAATTACATTTGTTTATGTTCAGTCCAAAATGTGGTATCCTACAGTGTGGCAGCATGGTCTCTAAACAGAAATAACCTTCACTCAGATACATACCATCATTGCTCTTCTTTATTATGCTGCTTCTGCACCATTCTTGTGTCCACGTATTGCCAAGTTTTTTTAAGTGTTGCTACTGAGTGGGGCCAGGGTCCAGCCAGCATCTGTCAACCATGGCATGTAGGTGGATTTTTAGGGTGTGTTCAAGCAGCTGTTGTCATAAACAGTATGCTCATTTTTCAAACTGCTTGAGTATGTTGCTGTTACTAATTTCTGCACTCTCTAACAGATGATACTTAAGATACTGTGGAATGCCCAGTTCTGTAGCTACTCAGAAGAAAAATATTATTTCTGTATTCTCATCTAGCAGTACTGTATAAATTGCACATGTAGCATCATCAGTATTTCATTCTTTAGTAATTATCTCCATTTCTGTAGTTTTGAAAGCTTTCAATCCTAGTTATTGTGCTTGAATAGAAAAATAGAGATGTACTGATGATAAATCAGGAATGATTTGTATTTTACCATCATAGAATAAAACAGCAATGGGTTATTTTGTATCTGTTTCTCTAGTTGCTTTCATTATAGCAAGTGCTGTGCATTTTGAGGCTCCTTCATCTTTAAAGTGATTCATAAACATGAGCTGGATAAATATGTCAGTGTTACTTTGGAGTATGCAACTTCTTATTGCTGTTCATAAGTGAACAAGCTGCAACAAATTACATTATTTTTTCCTACTTTGATTTGTTGTTGTCTGTCTGTGTCATGTGCTCCAGATAATTTCGAAGTGCAGCAGAAATTTTATGGGTGAAATAATTTTTAGATCCTTGTTTGGGCATAGTTCTAAAAGGCGGTTAGTTTAGTTTATCACACAAGGTAAAAATCTGTGGCGTGTGTTTTGCATCAGTAATGAGATAATCTTTTGAGGAGATTTAAGCTAAGACCTATATTATTTGGTTAAAAATCTTCCAGACAAAAGTTTACTCTGTATTTCCCATGAAAATAAGTATTTGACACAATTGGATGGTCTGTAATTCCTGCAGTTAAAGTAATGATTTTAGTATTTCTCATGCATAATAGTATCAACAAATCACAGAATTACCAAGGCTGGAAAAGTCCTCTGAGATTATCAAGTCCAGCCTATGACCAACACCACCACATCAGCTAGACCATGGCACTAAGTGCCACATTCAGCCTTTCCTTGAACACATCCAGGGGTGGTGCTTCCACCACTTCCCTGGGAAGTCCATCCCAATGACTGATAACTCTTTCCATGAGGAAGTACTCCCTAATATCCAACCTAAACCTCCCCTGGAGAGCTTAAGGCTGTGCCCTCTGGTCTTGTTGCCGGTTTCCTGGAAAAAGAGCCCAGCCCACACCTGACTACAACCTTGTTCAGGTAGTTGAAGAGAGTGATAAGGTCCCCCTTGAGTCTCCTCTTCTCCAGGCTAAACAAACCCAGCTCCCTCAGCCTGTCCCTATAAGACTTTTCCTCTAGTCCTTTCACCAGCCTCATTGCTTTCCTCTAGACCTGCTCCAGCACCTCAATATCCTTCTTGAAGTGAGGGGCCCAGAACTGTACACAGTACTTGACATGAGGCCTCACCAGTGCTGAGTACAGGGGGAGAATTACATCCCTACTCCTGCTGGCCACGCTATTCTTGATACAAGCCAGGATGCTATTGGGTTTCCGGGCCACCTGGGCACACTGCTGGCGTATGTTCAACCGGTTCTCAACCAGTACTCCCAGGTCCCTCTCTACCGGGCCATAATGTTGCCATTCTATATATTTATTCTTTTTCAGTGCCCAGATGGCATGAGGAGGCTCAGATTGCATAGGAAATCTCTGCTTTTTCCTAACAGCAGTATAGTTGGCTGTTGTACAGTGGGCAAAGGAAGTCAGTATGTGAGGAAAGTATATACCTAAACACAGCCTGGATGAAGATTCCATTCTTAATAAGTATACACAGATCTTCTGTAAACAGCAAATGTTTGTAATTGAAGGAGAGATCATATTTCTCATGGAGTAATGTATTATTACCCTTTACAGCTTCCAGTAAGGAAAATGAGGTAGTTGTCTCTTTAATGCATCTCTGAAACAATTTCTAAGTGAAGACAAAATGTACCTTAACAGAGTCCATAAGTTTCTTTAGGTAGAAATCAGAGTCAAATTGACAGTGAGTTACTGAATTTGCTTAATTTTGTCATTTTGGTGTCATAAATGGAGAGTGTTAACTTCAAGTCTCTTTCAACCTCTTC